TGTGGTTGGGAGTTCTCCTGGAGCCGTTGCTGGATTCGGAGGCCTGTGGGCCAGGAATAAAGCTCTGGATCGAAACCTTCCATCAGAACCGACTCCTTCACCTTGCCTTAAAGCTTCTCCACCAAAGGTAAACCTGAACTCCTGCATGCCTGGACTTGCCTCCAAGCGCCCAGCTGCAGCATCCAGCTAGCCAAAAGTGTCTCTGGGGTAAAATTCCACAGTTGCCGCTATTTGGTCAAGCAGCAAAGGCCAGACAAGCTCATGTACATTCTGTCTGGCTATATTGGTCATTATTTCAGTGGTAAATATAGTTTTAGGTTATAACATTATGTAAAATAGAAACTATGCAATTTAAGATACTTTTTCAACTAGCTCAAGAAAGAGATGGGATAATCAAGAAATTCTTTGCCCAGAGATAAGAGCAACAGGACACATAAAGCCCCAAAAGAAGAATTCTTGTGTCCTTATTGGAAAAGACCAACTTTCTTCCACCTCCTTCCTGACTTTGAGGAGCCAACAGGATTAACAGGGAGAACATGACAATAACCAGAGAACATCCTTTGTTTGAAAAGAATTTATGCAGCATGTATGAGATATATGAATATGCCACAGGCTATTACTTTTAAGGGCTAATCCTTTGTTAGCCTGTGTGCTTTCGGGGCATAATGGCCCAGGAGGCACCAGGACTGTTCGTATGTCTTTGTTTTTATTGACCTTTATTGTTCTGACTCTTGTTGTCCAAATTCTTAATACTCTAACATTTATTACTATCTTAATAACCATTTTATTGCTATTAATCTTTTAAAATTTAAAAAAAATGGATTTTTGTTTTTTGCAGTGTGCAATGAAATTTGGGACGAGTCTTCATTCATCATCTCCAGTGCACACTGCCCTTGGCCAGCACACTGGCCCGTTTTGGTACATCTGTGACACTTCTAGTTGAGGCAGAAAGAGTAATGGCATTTGAAGGCAAAACCAAGGGAAGAATGAGGCAGCCCAAACACCCTGTGCAGATGCAGGCCTTCAGCTGTGACTGGAGAGCATTGGGGTTCCTGCCACTTGGATTTGGATCCCTAAATGCAATAATCTCTTTGGCTGGAGGAGAGCCTTGCTCAAGTGAGAAAGCAGAAAGATCAGAGAGGGTGCTCGGGAAGGTCTCCTGTGGTGCAGAGCTGTCAGCGCCTGTGAGGTGAGAGCGGGCCCGGCCTTGCCCGGGCTGGAGCCCCAGCAGAGCCCCGGCAGAGGCCGGAGCAGCCTGAGCCCCGGCAGAGGCAGGCTGGAAGGAGGCCCTTGGAGCTGCAAGAGGCAGCAGCCGGGCGATGGGTGCCTCTTGCTCGAGCGGGCGAATCCTCCGCTCTCAGAGCCCAGGTGGCAGCTGGCTGCTGCGGAGGGGAAGCGCAGCCATGCTGGGCACAGCCCGGCCTGGAGGCATTGGCCATCTGGAGTGTGCCCAGGAGCAGAGAAAGGCCAAGGGCAGCTGCGGGCCGCTGGGCTGGCTGAGAATTCCTCCTCTTCTGCCAGCTGCCCTGAAACCCCTGGCAAAGGCCAGCAGTGTGTGCAGCACTCTGGGCACCAGGGCAGGGAGCCGGGCTGCTCGGCAGGCTGGAGCACAGGGCAGCTCCTTCAGGCCCGGCACTTGTGCCAGGGAAAGTGAGGCCAGCGTGAGGCAGGGACAGCTTGGCAGGGCCCATCTGCAGGAGCCAGCGCCTCACGCAGCTCTGGGAGGAAGCGCCTGCAATCCTGCAGTTCTGCACTGAGCCAGAGCAAAGATGTGAGATGCAGAGTGTTTGGAAGAAATATTCAGGCCCACCAGGCCAGCCTGCTTTGTGCTCTGTGGCACACAGCAAGCACTGTGCAATGCAGCTGTGAGCTGCTGGGAGAGAGGGCATTGGGGATGTGCCTGAGGTGAGTCAAGGGGTTAGCTGAAAATGTAATTAAGATAATTGAAAAGTGAGGATGACTCGAGGGGAATAGAATTGGGATAGTAGAAGACTGCATATTTTAGTTAAGATTTTAAAATTAGGTAAGAAGCTAAATTAGTAATACAGCTAGCAGTAATCACGACCCTTAGTTAAAGAGTACCAAATATATTAGGAACATAAAGCTAGGAGTGACAGGGATAGAGGAAGCAATTGTGAAGAAGCAGGGACCATAGAAATACCTTGCCTTAAGAATAATTGAACAGTTAGGAGAGGCTTGGACCATGAGCAGGTCAAAAGGTCTTGCCAACTGGCCATGAGAGAAGAGTTCACCATGAGGAAGACGGCTTTCTTCCTCCCATACAACCACTCCCTCATTTCAAAATCCAACCGACCCAGTCAAGGGAATACAATTGTGCAGCTGCAATAGATATTCAGCTGATAAAAATGCGAAGCAGGCAGGTAATAATTATGTATGATGGGTCCTTAGAAACCTAATGTAAAACCTTTTCTGTAGAAATAGAGAGCAGGAGTCTGCAACTCCTTGTACATGTCTTTGGAAACTAGTTCACATATGTCCAGCGGTGCAATAAATACCCTTCTTTTTTACTATAATTAGTTGAAGAGCCATCTGTCCATGCTTCAAGGGTTATGCTGGAGTAGTGAACTGATTTGGAAGGGAGCAGAAAAGTTTCAGCAGGCAATTTTTGGAAGAGATGGAAGCCTCTTGTGACTGAAGGGAAAACCATTTGGAAAGGAGAAATGATCCCGAAGTCCATACAATTGTATCTTTGTGTCTGAATTTAAATTAGGCTGAATATAGATAGCTTCATGCAATTTGTCTATAAATTTATCAAAGTCTTCATTCTTTCTTTGACAAATTTGTGTAAAGGACATGGTGTGTAACTTATCTGGAAGTGCAAGGATAGCATTATATGCTAGTTGTTGGCTCATCTGTAAGACTTGATCAATGCTCCTAGCCTGGGTAGTGGCAGTAGCCCAGGGCCCTTGGCCAAGTAACCGTTGTGCTGTTAAACCATACAGAGGATCACCTTGCACCCTAGCTCTTGCTGCTTCTTGAGGACATTTTTCCTCCCAGCTTTTATGAAACATCACCTGCTATTGGGGTGGCATTCTAAGTCTTATTAGGGTATGCACATCAGCTAGAATTAATGGGTTAGATGGAAAAATATACTGCAGAAGTGACTGTGTAAGTTGGGATTTTCAACTAAATTGTGAAATTGCAGCTCTCAATTTTTCTAAAATCTTCCAATTGAAAGGTTCTCAAACTCTACTTGCAGCATTAGTTACTACAGGAAAAGCTTCTACATCATTGGAGAGAAAAGTCCCTTCTACAATAGCTTCTGGAATAACTTTTTTCTACTTTCGTTACTGAGCTGCTTCTATTTCAGGGTCACATTCCAACTCTAATTCCACATTCTTAACAGCGTGAGAAGGAGGATTTTGTTTAACTGGCTCGAATGCTGGCTCAGAGACAGAATGGAGGAGTTTTTGCAAGAGAGTGGCAATATTCAGCTGATGCACAATCCAGCCTGCTTGTAATAATGGACAATGAACACGTTCACAAAGAATGAATTATAGACATATTCAGAATTGGGCTCGGTATGTCCTCGAAAAAGACACAAGAAGAACAGTCATCAGGACTCAGCAAGTTTGTCAGAAAGCTTGGGAAAGTGAGCCATGGGTAGGCCAGAAAACCCCAGCAAGATGCGTAAAAAATTAGATGATCCAATCAGCATTCTATTTTAGATGCGTGAACACCTAGGATTAACCAATCATGTATTAGGTAGAGACGCGTGGACAGCAGAGATTTATTTTAAATATACTCTTTTAAAGGATAATAAATTTGGCTTCACTAGATCATATTGGTCATGGTGTGATGTCCCAGAACCTCCGCGTCCCACAGCCTGTTCCCGCAGGAGGCTCTGGTGAGCCCCTTGCAGGACGCTCTGCCGTGCACGCAGCCCTTCTCCTGCCCGCCCAGAATGCTCCTGGGACAGCAGAGCACAAGCTGGCCGGCTCTGGGCTCAGCACAGCCCAAACAGAGGGGCAGGAAGACGCAGCAGCTGTTTTGCAGCCCTGCCCAAGAGAGGTGGGAAGGGTCTCCTCCCTCTGGTCTCACTTGGTTGGGTTTCTGACTGGCCCTGAGGCAGGGGCTGCCATTCCTCATTGTGGGGAGACCAGAGTTGCCAGAACCACACCGAGCCTGCAGGCACTGCCTGACAGTGCTGCAGCCAGGGATGGTCGCGCCTCTGAGTCTCAGCCACTCCCTGCTGCTGCTGCTGCTGCTGCTGCTCCATTTGCTTTTAGGCACACCCAGCGCTCACTGTTAGGCCATGACGGTCTCTGCTTCTGCCCTCTTCCTGTCCCTGTGTAGGGATGGAGAACTGCTGTTCTTTCAGGAATCTCTTTGTGAAGCCTTCTGGCATTGCAAGCTCCTTTGCCCTCAGTGGATGCTTGCCATGGAATCCCGCACAGCCGGGTTCACAGCATACTTGAGCTGGCTCTTCTAAAACACAGGGTCCTTGCTCCCTTCAGCGTGCTCAGCACAACCTTTAACTCCACGGTGCTGTGCAGCTGGAGCAGCAGGACAGGCACCTTTGCAGCCTGAGCTGCCCTTGTTCCTCTCTGTCCGTGCATGGAACACAGCACGGAGGAGAACGGCAGCAGGGCTCAGGTTTTGCGCTGCTTCAGCTCCACAGAGACACGGGTAAAGTGAAAAACCCAAACAGTTTATTAAGGGAAAGTGAAGCAAATGGGTGAGCTGGGAGGCAGAAAAGGGGATGGGCAGGGCCTGAGGGCTGCAGGGAGGGAGCTGCCAACAGGGAGAGAGATGGCAAGAGCTCCTGGAGCTTGGCACAGGCTCAGCTCTGAGCAGCCAGAGCTGTGCCTGGAGCTCCAGCTTGTCCATTCTGCTCTGCCGGCAATCCAATCTTCAATGGGCACTGGAAATCGCTGATGGACGCTGGTACATCTGATCCATCAGACAAAGTCCTGAAGATCTTCTTTCAAAGGTCATTTGAAGCAGTTTGCTCATGCACGATGGACTCTCCTCTTATTTCAGGGCTTGAAGAGCTGGAAGAGAGAGGAACAGAGTCAAGGTCAGAGGCCAGACTGAGGGAATCCAAGGAAAGCCTCCTGCTAGGGCCATCCCAGCCGGCTGCAGCGGCCCAAGCGCGGCTCTCACTGTAGCCGGGGCAGCAGCCGGGCCAGGGGCAGGGAGGGGCGCCGGGCTGCTGGCTCACCCATGAACCTGACGGCCGCCTCTCGCACGGGCCTCTGTGGGCTCTGCAGGTGAGGCAGGGCCCAGCGCAGGTGCTCGGCCGCTCGGCTCTCGTCCTGCAGCAGCTGCAGGGAACGCCGGCAGGGGAGGCTCGGCACCGGCTCTGCCACTCGGCCGGGCGCTCCCTGCTCCCAGCACCGGCCGAGCCAGCCCGCACGGCCCAGGGCAGGGAGCAGCGTGGGGGGCACAGGCGTCGGGCAGGGGCACAGCTGCCGGCCCCCGACACTGAGCACCAGGGCAGGGGCTGCCCCACTCCAGCCTGCGGCTGGGGCTCCCGGGCTGTCCTTACCAGGCTGTCAGCGAACTTCATCCACCGCTTCTTCCTCAGCAGCTCCTCGAGATCCCTCCTTCTCAGGGATCACCTGTGTGCTGCACAAAGCAGGGCTTCGCCAGAGGCCTGCAAAGCAGCAAAGAGCCGCAGGTGGCACCAGAGCCCAGGTGAGTCACATGGGAGCTGGCTCCCTGTGCCAAGGCCAGGGGAGGCTGGAGCCCGCGTGCTGCCGGGGCAGGAGGCGGCCGAGCCCCCTGCCAGGGATGCGGCAGCATCACACCAAACCTCACCTCAGCCACGTGGAGGTTCTCATGGTGCCAGTGTGAAATACAAAGTTGTGTTTTGTGTCAGGTACAAACAGGCGATGTGTGTAGTTGTGAATGAGAAATGTGTGGACCCCGATAATGGGAGAGCTGTGAATTCTATTAATAACTGAGGAAAATAAAGCATGAAAAAAGGCCTTTGAACCTATCTGTTGTTTGCAAATTAACCCTAGTTTATTTAGGAGCATTGGAATTAGGGTGTTAAAGTTGTTGCTTTTTGCCTGCATTTAATCCATAAAGAGTTCTGCAATAATAACCTTTTGAAGTATAATTTTAGAATATTAATTGTATCCTTGAAACTATAGCTTTGGAATATATATAAAGGAAATATGCTTATGTCACGCCTCATTGAAGCAGAGAAAAACAGCTTGAAAAAGGAAGATGAACATCACCTCAAGGGTTTATGGTTTCGACCAAAGGGAAGCTGGACATCACTGTTATGAGATTTATAGTCTCTGCAATTAAAAGGTGGACACGCATCTGGGGAGCTGGACCCCACCAGATGGGATTCGTCTTTCTTCTTTCGGAAACTGGACCGTCACCATCTGGGGATACTCCTTTGAGATACATCCTGAGAAATTAAAATCACAATAGTGTATAGAATTGTGATGTAATAATTTGGAATAAAAATTGCTGATGAGTAAAAGATTGGAAATAGAAACTGCGGAAAAAAGCTGATGAGTACCCTTATAAATACCTGTAACCCTCAATTATCGGTCTGCATTTGGAGGGAAAACTTCCCCCACTGTACCCAGCGCTGTATTTCTCATCCTTTACCATATTAAATAATAAATTGATTGCTGCTTGAATATTGGCCTAGTCAAGCTTCTTATTCATAACAAGAGCTGGGGGTTCCTTCCTCAGGAGAGCACCAGGGGATTCCCAATATTTTGGTTTGACATTTGAGGTCCTCTTTCCAGCCACCATGTTTTTAGGTTAGGGTGAGGGGTAAAAAGGGTCTTAGTGAACAGTGGATTCTGTTCTTCACGTCTAGACATCACTTTGATCCCTCAATTCCATGTTGGTTTGATGTTTTTAGGGGGTTTTGGCTAGGTTTGCTGAGGGGCTTCCTCATTTGCATGCCAACCCCGATGTCATTTCCATGCCAACTTGGTTGTCCCCTCCTCTTCACTGTCCCAGGTGCTATCCTCCTGGAAGCAGCAGGGTGCCGCTCCACAAAAAGGGGAATTCTCAACAATCAATAACAGGTAGTTAATGAAAAATTATTAACAACAGGTGATTACATCAACAAACAGTTAGAACTCCACCCTGGCAGCAACTGGCCCAACCTGGGAACTCTGCAACCTTTTAATAACATGGGCAACTTTTCTACTCATAACAGTATAACAACATAGAGAGGGTTTTGTGACATCACTGAGGGAGTTGTGACATCATACAGCTTCTGTGACATCATAGAGTAGGGTGTGTGGCCATAGAGGAGATCCTGCCATCACAGAGGGTGGCTCAGTGACATGAGAGAACGGGTTGTGACATCACTGACTGGCTGTGTAACATCATAGAGCAGGTTGTGACATCACAGAACAGATTCTTACATCACATTGTGGCTTTCTGACATCACAGAGTCTTTTGTGACATCACAGTACAACTGCCTGACATTCCAAGCTGACATCCCAGAGTTGGCTCTGTGACATCACAGGAGCCGTGTGACATCACAGGTGGCTGTGTGACATCACAGGGGCTGTGTGACATCATAGGGTCAGTGTGACATCACAGGGTCTGTGTGAGGTCCCTGGGGAGGTCACTCTGCCCCAGCCCCCCTCACAGCTCCCCCCAGAGCAGTCCAACCCTGCTCGTGCACAGTGGGGTCCCCTGTCCCCCCGGGTCCCCCCGGCCCCGCAGCCTCCCCCAGAGGATGTTCCACGACATCGACCCCAGAGCCTGACACGGGGACGGAGGGCGGGGGCCCTGGGGCTGGCACAGGGGAACAGGGACCCGCCGGCAGCGTCCCCGTGTGCCCCAGGGCCAGAGCCTGGGCCAGAGCTCCTTCACCCTGCTACCAATGAGGCCTTGAGAGCGCTGAAAAAATCCCCGGCAAGGGAGCAGCAAAAACCAGATTGAATTTTAAGGGACAGCAGCACAAAGTTCCTTGGCAAGAGTCACTCTGTTCTTGACTGGACACTTCAGGCACACCAAGGAAACAAAGCAACAACAAAACCAAATCAAATCCAGGCAATCAAACCAGAAATGAACTGAGAACTGTCCCTGTGTGTGTGTATGACACAAGCACAGTAAGGGCAAGGATAAAAGGAATATGGCCTAAAGCTTAACAGGCCTCACACTTAACAGGACTTAACTTACACCTTAAATGTAACCGATACCTTAAATTTCAAAGTTTAGCAAAACAACAGCACTTAACAGTATTTAACTTTACTTAGAACCTATGACTTAGCAATTTAACAGAAGAATAACACTTAACAATATTTAACTTAGCTAACAACTTAAATTAAACGTAACAATTTAGCAAAAGAACAACTCTTAGGAGAATTGAACTTAGCTTAGACCTCATGACTTAAACCTTACTTACAGCTATCTGGATATCTGACTGACTCAGCTATCCAAGGCACTCAAGCCCCTCAGAGAGCAGCATTTCTGCCACATTTTCCCAGCACAGGCACTACTGTGTGCACACAGACACAAAGAGTCACTGCAAGGCACCTGTGAGCAATTCCCCTGAGGACAGAGAATGCTCGCTGTGGATGCTTTGGCATCTCCCCAGAGGGTGAAGGGTTGAGCCTGGAGGAGTGGGGGGATCGGCCCAGGCTCCGTCGTTGTTGGGGATCCCCGAGTGCAGCAAACGGGAGAGTTCCCGACTGGGAGAGGCCCCACTCAGAGGGAGTCGCTGGCCCAGGAGAGCTCCAAGGGCTCCTTTTGGAGCGCTGTTTGTAGGGCCCCAAGAGAGGGGCTCCAGTCCCAGCAACGGTTCATCCTGGCCGCACTTGGCACCAACAGCTTTCTTTGGCAGTGTGAGAACAGGGATGTTTTGCCATGGACGGAGCAAAAACAGTTCCCAGGGCTGCTCCTACAGAACCCAGGAGCTGGTTGGGCAGCAGCAGTGCCTGGAGCAGACAGTGTTTGTGATGAGCTGCAGAGGAGCTGAGCCCAGGGGCTGTTGGCCAAGGCCGAGGCCCAAGGAGCATTTCTCAGCTGGCAGGGCGGCCTGAGAAGGGGAGGGAGGAATGCAGCAGCACAGGGCCCATGGAACCAAGGGATCATTGTGACCCTGTTGGGCCCTGTGAGACCAAGGGACCATTGTGACACAGTGAGGCCTTATGGAACCAGAGAGACCATTGTGACAATGGAGATACCTACAGAACCAAGAGGACTATTGTGATACTGTGGGGCCTCATGAAACTAAGAGGCCTTTGTGACATTGCAAGGCTTCATGGAACAGAGAAGTCACATGACATTGTGGGGCCTGGGGAGCCACGGAGACCATTGTGACACTTCAAGGTCTCATGAAATGAAATTGCCACTGTGACACTGCTGGACCCCATACAACCAAGGGTCCCTTGTGACACTGCAGGTCTTCTTGTAATTAGGAGGCCATTGTGACACTGCTGGACCCCATAGAATCAAGGCACCATTGTGACACTGTTTGGCCCCATAAAAGCAAGGGAACATGGAACAGCACTGGCTGGTTTGGCCTCCTGTTGACTGCCTGACTGGTCAAACTCATCTTGGCATGTTGGGGGGTCTCTTCTTATCAGCTGCTGAAACACTGGTGCTCCGTGCTTTCCTTCCTATGGGAAAGATCTGTCCTTCTTAGCCAGGTGCCCACGGCCAGAATTGGGATTTCCACCTCCAACATTGCCTGTTGTGAAAGACTGCAGGAGATTGTTGGCTGGAAACATTTTGTGTGCCAGGGAGGAAGGGGCAGGTCCAGTCTTGCCCTGCCATGCCCTGCCCTGGAAACACAATCCCCCCAGAGCCTCTATCCCAGCCCAGCAGTGTCTGCCGGTCCCTGGCACAGCACAGGCAATGCTCCACAGCCACCTCTGCAGCCTCAGCCCAGCTCCTGAGGGACCAAATGAGCCCAAGTCCCACCTGGGGGAAGGGCCCAGGAAGACCAAGGGGTATTGAAGGCTGACCACAAGGCAAGCACACATCTTGGCCCTACCTCACCTTGGAATTTCCATCTGAGCACTGCTGGAATCCAGGAGTGGATAGTTCTGTGTGT